ATCATTAATTTTTAGCAAAATGCTTTATTAGAAATTCTGATTTTTTCTTGTAATGTTTACTGAAAGCTTGCCAAATTTCGTTAAGATACATAAATCGTATCGAATGATGTATCAACACAATCGTATCACAGCTTCACGATACAATACTTGTATCGACACATCTTTAGTATTTACCGACATCGCCTCATTTTTTATTAATTTTTTCACATGTTATATAATCTGACTAGTTGATAATGATACGTTTTTCGATGTATTTACCGTTATTGCATCTTTTTTTTTCACATGTTATATAATCTGACTAGTTGATAATGATACGTTTTTCGATGTATTTACCGTTATTGCATCTTTTTTTTTCACATGTTATATAATCTGACTAGTTGATAATGATACGTTTTTCGATGTATTTACCGTTATTGCATCTTTTTTTTTTCACATGTTATATAATCTGACTAGTTGATAATGATACGTTTTTCGATGTATTTACCGTTATTGCATCATTTTTCATCTAATGTACGTATATGATTTTTGTCATTCAGCAGTTGTACTATATAAATTAATGAATAACCTTTTCTCGTGATCATACAGTAGTTCATTAACCGTTGAGGTGTTTATTTCAAAATCTGATTTATCGAATTTTTTATCACTGTATTAAGCATTTATGTCAAACAAACTGATTTATTTAAGTGAACGTAAACTATGACATACACAGCAGATCTAGCAATAATAACGTTTTGAAACGAGATATTAATTCGTAATTAAAATCTGACCTATTTTAAACTGATTATTATCGTCGTATTCACCTTGTCCTGTTGTAGCTTGGTTTACATTTTATACTTTTAGTTGAGTTTTTAATTTACTCTCTACAGTTTTAATCGTCTAGGGTTATACGTACTTTGAAAGTAAGGGTCCACAGTCTACTTTTAGGCAGATTTTTTTTTTTGTGTGAGACAGATACTCTATGTTTTTAGTCTTCTGAACAGTTGTGCTATAGCTTTTTTGTGTGTATAACTATAAACCGTAAGGAAAAGCAATAAATGTTTAGAGATTGCTTGGAATTTTGTCTACTTGAATGGCCTTCCCTTCCCTTCTTTAGTCACGGGAACGCACAGAGTTGACGCCTGACTTTCTCTAATTAAAACAGAAACCAGTCAAACATGCAACCAAGCAAGTACTTTTCTCTGTATGTTAACTTTCTCCCCTAATCTGGCATGTTGCTAATGTAGCCCCACCCTGTTATAAGTATTGTGTCTACAACTTTGCCCTGTAAGGTTGGCCAGTCTTTGTAGCCTTTTTTTTCCTTTTTTTTTCTTTTGTTTCTGTATACAGGCACTGCTACATTCTCCTTGAGAATACACCTAAGTGGGTCAGTTCCAAAAGTAGACATTGCAACAAATAATGATGAATCATTCCACAAGATTTGAATGGTATTTTTTTCTTAATTAGAAATTAAGGCATGGTTTAAGTTCATATCTCTAATTGTATACAAGTTTCTTTCAGTATTCACCCCCCCCCAAAAAAAACCAACAACAACAAACAAACTAACATTAGTTCCCTGGGTTACATATGTTCTAATAGGAAGCTGTGACAGTATGATATTTTCAGATAAAACCAATTTCCTGACAAGTATCAGACATGTTAGCCTATGATAATAATAAATTCTCTCAGGAAATAAGGAGAGTGTTCTGTAGTAGATAACTTAATTGAACCCTCTTACTGTGTATGAAATAAAGATATTGAACAAAGTTTGTAAAAGTAAAATTAATTATTTATCTGACAGACACAAAGAAAAACAGTGTACATACTTGTGTACATGAAAGAACAGATGCTTCTACTAGACTGTCCTTAGTTTCACAGCTTTCTCTCTCACTCTCTCTCAAGAAGGACTTCCATCAAATAAGTACAATTATTTCAAAATTCTACACTTGGCAATCTCTTAGTAGAACTGGATAAAGAAAGTGCATCAGAAATCAACAGATAAACTTGCATTCTTTGTCTGGTCAACAGCACCACCTTGCGATCTCTGTTCTCTCACACTATTGGTCAGCTGTTGTATTCAGTCAACACCATTGTGGGCCAGAAAAGGACATTGCAATACCAATTCTTTTAACCTGGATATTATACACATTACTGTAATATCCTAACAGTCAGAAGAGACATTACCTACTAGTGAGAATGAGATAATCTTAGCTTTTTTGGACCATATGTTATCACCTTTGCAGCACAGAAACTAAGCTGAAAATTGTTTTATATTTTTATATCACTAAAGGAGGTAGAAAACATGTAATATACCCACATATCAAAAGAGTAAGGGTGTTATTATAAAAAAAAATACTTATTTAGCATATTGCTCAAAATGATAGCAATTCAACAATTCATTTATTGATTATGACTTATGAAAGCTTGCTGATCCAGAAATATTTTCTTTCTTAGCTATAAAGGGTTAATGTGTGACATTATAGTTCCTTATGAAAGCTTGCTGATCCAGAAATAGTTTCTTTCTTAGCTATAAAGGGTTAATGTGTGACATTATAGTTCCTTATGAAAGCTTGCTGATCCAGAAATATTTTCTTTCTTAGCTATAAAGGGTTAATGTGTGACATTATAGTTCCTTATGAAAGCTTGCTGATCCAGAAATATTTTCTTTCTTAGCTATAAAGGGTTAATGTGTGGCATTATAGTTTCTTATGACAGCTTGCTGATCCAGAAAGTTTCTTTCTTAGCTATAAAGGGTTAATATGTGACATTATAGTTCCTTATAAAAGGTTGCTGATCCAGAAATAGTTTCTTTCTTAGCTATAGTTCCTAATAGAGAAATTTTACTTTTCAGCCTTAGCAAATAAATCCATTGTATATATTATCTAAAAAAAACTATTGGCTTTTTAAATTTATAAGAAGATATGTTAATGCTTTTAAATTGATATTTTTATATTTTCATTCATATGTTTATTACTGCTCTGAAGTAACAGTTTCTGTTACTTTTCAATAGAATTTACTTACTAAAGTTACTACTATGAATGTGTACAGCAGGGATCATTCAGATATTTTTGTACTGAATTATAAAGTTTCATAATTTTTAGTTATTACGAAAGGCCCTTTCATTATTTTTTGTATGATATAATTTTTTGTGTGTTTTTGGAATTACTTGGGTAAAATGGTCAGGGAATTTTGTAAGGTCATTAGTAAAACCTGTTACTTTACAATCTATTCTGCATGTGTATTGAATAGACATTGTATCTATTTACTTTTTGATGCTGAAAACAATTGTAGTTGGATACATCATTAATTGCTGTTGTACATAACAGAGTAGGAAGTGATTAGTAGTTGGATAGGCCTGCAAATACTCTGATGTTTCACTGTAACATTTTAAGTTAAGACTGTGCTAACAGTGTTGAAGAAGATTGCTACTGAATAGGTTAAGAAAACAATTGTAGTTGGATACAGTCATTAATTGCTGTTGTACATAACAGAGTAGGAAGTGATTAGTAGTTGGATAGGCCTGCAAATACTCTGATGTTTCATTGTAACATTTTAAGTTAAGACTGTGCTAACAGTGTTGAAGAAGATTGCTACTGAATAGGTTAAAGGTCATTACACACAATAACTTTATAAAAGGCAAGACATAAGTAAAAGTGAAAAGTCAAATATCAGAGAATATCAAAGTTCATAAATTTTAAAATTAACATGAAGTTGAAAGTGGAGAGATATTTAAAGATAGTAGGTACTCAACTAAGTCGTTTTTTTTTTTTCATCGATTCAATTGTCATGAGATAAAGTGAGAGTGTCTTACTGATCTTTTCTGTAACCAGTACTTCAACACTACAGTTACTTAATATCATTACAAGTGTTAAGCATTTCTGTAAGATTAGAAAATTTAATCAAAATTAGAAATGTAGTAAATTTTGTCTGGAAATTGAAAAAAAAAACCTCTGTTAGAAATGGGTGATTTAGTTGATTGTGTATGAGCAGTGTTTATATTGATTAGTGTCACAAAAACTGATTAATCAAAATTAATGTTTTTGGTTACTGCTGTTTTCCATTAATCAAAATTATGATTAAAATTGATTGTCATGAAAATAATCAGATAATTGAAAGTAGGATTTCCAATTATTACAATTTTTTATTTTTCCAACTATCCAAGTAATTGAAATATTGCCACCAGAGGTCTTTGTTATTATTGAACTGCTGACTAGAGAGAAGGCAAATGGTAAGCAACACCTGCCAACCCACCCCCCTTTATTTTATAATCGTTGACTAGCTACAAAGGCAACTTTGTAGAAGCACCTGCCACTAACCTTTTTCTTATTTGATTATATTTTTTGCTTGTATGTACCATGGTTTAAGGAACACTGTCAATTGATTAATTAATTACCAAATACCGCTGTTCACTCAGCTTTTCACAAGTATTTGTATTTATGGTTTTTTAAATGCTAGTAATAAATCAATCAAATGGTTGATTTTTATTAATTAGGAATGAAAAAAATGCTGCAAAATAAATAAACACACATTTACAACCATATTGTATTTAAAAAAATAGAGAATTGTGTTTGTCAAAAAGAGTGGAACAGGAGAACATTGAATTGGGTGAAATTGTACCTGTTTTTACATAATTAACATAACAGCTTTATATTCTGTATTCATCACAAGTTTCTTAATTCTCAGAGTTACATATAAATCTAATGATTTCTGTTTGTAGGTAGTGGACAAAATTCTTGTTTCTGTAACACACATGATAGTGGAAAACATGTTAAGATAATTACAATCAACCCTTCACTGGTAATTTATTTTTTACGTGGAATAAGTTTTGGATGTATTTTATGTAATGGAACAGGTAATAATAATGTTATGAGCTATATTTTCAATGTTGTAATTTATGAGTTAGCAAGAGGGCATATCATGTTAAGATCACATTAGTCCTAGAATATTTGGGAATATTAATGAACGAGAGTCTTTGAAAAATATCTAGAATAAGGATTAGGTTATGAATACAGGTGAGCCTGTTGATTAGCTAGGTAAGCTTACAGTGAAACCGTAAAGCATCAAGAAGTTACAGAGGTGTTTTCTAGCCAGTAGAGTGAAACAATCGGTGTGTGTATGTTTGTGGACCTGTGTTTGTTATCGCACTTATTGAGTTACTTTAGTCCTTCTATTGTTAGTGCTTTGAACATCATTTATACCGTGGGCCTACTCGAAGTTACAACAGTATACAATGGTTCAAGTTTGTAGAAGTGTTAAAGGAGGAAATAAACTAATTTGTTCTCATTATGTAGACTGAACATTCAATTATTTTCACCAGATAACTCAGAAAGAACCTGACGACAAAAGAACAATGTTACAACAATAAGATTTTATATGCATTTGGTGTTCTCTTATTCATGTGTGTAATAACCTTTAACTTGTCCTTAACTAGCAGTTATTGCGATTGGAAACTCTTGTTTTGTTTCCATTCTAGTTTGAAATGTTTTGGACGAAGAGCACAACAAGACATTTTTCTCATGCTAGTTTTTGTTTGGTGTTACTATGGTGTTTTAAGAAAGGTTATGTTGTTTATGAGGAAGTACTAAAATTCTCTGAAAAAACTACTCCATGAGCACATTTATTTTAATAAATTCATGCACATCATTATTTAACAAACACATGTACAACTATACCATAGTTAAAGTTTTCATAATATAATTATATATTAGTTTTAGAATTAATGATTTGGTTCTCTAAAGCTTTTTTATCATTTTTATTATGTTATAACAGCAGAACTTGTTGTCCCAGATATCAGGCTATATGGATTCCATACCTTCAACAACTTATCTAACAGGCAAAGTATAAATGTAAAACTTGTTATCCCAGCCATCAGGCTTTATGAATTCCACTACTCCAATTACTTATTGGACAGACAAAATATGACAGTAAAACTTGTTGTTCTAGGCATTGGGCTATATGAATTCCACACCCTGTTAGCACCTGATTAATTCTCTCTCTGTATGGTGCATTTACTGAGTAAAACTTGCCCCTGGGCTTCCTATGAAATTCTTTTACATCTTCTATTGTTTTACTTGTTTAACAAAACACTTACCACTTGCATTGCATCTGGTTTGCTTAAAAGAGTTTTTTGCTTTATTATAATGTGTTTAGGAAGCAACATAACATGATATTATTCAAAATTGTTTACAAGGTAACAGTTAAAGCAAGTACTGTCAAGTACCATTCATTTAAAAATCAGATTATATAGTTATTAAAATGTAGCATAAATCTTTTTAATTTAAAACGATTTTGTTACAAACTGTCAGGTTAACTTACAAGCATGTTTATATTGCTGAAATCTGTAATATAATCACCAAACATTAGAATATTACAAGATAAGTAAAAAATTGGGAATTTAAAAATCTGCAAATAAAGATCTTAAAAAAGTAAGCAAACAAGACTGGCAATA